CCAGGGGGAGGGGCCTGCAGCCGCTGTCACGCCACACGTCACCGTCCCGCCCTCCCTTCCCCTCCCGCCGTGGCGCTTGGCTGACTTCTGAGCTGCTCAGCTGGGCCGCCGTAGAGGAACAAGTGGCCGTTTGGGCCCCACACTCCCTATGCAGCATGAGCCACCCAGAGGGAACAGCCAGCATTTCAGGCAACAGCGCCACCCAGAGGAAACAGCCAGCATTTCAGACTCACAGACATTGGGCTACTATATATATGATAGGCCAAAGGAAGGCTAGTAGGGTGGAAAATGGTTGTAATGAACTATGAAGTCAGAGGAACAAGTGGCCGTTTGGGCCCCACACTCCCTATGCAGCATGAGCCACCCAGAGGGAACAGCCAGCATTTCAGGCAACAGCGCCACCCAGAGGAAACAGCCAGCATTTCAGACTCACAGACATTGGGCTACTATATATATGATAGGCCAAAGGAAGGCTAGTAGGGTGGAAAATGGTTGTAATGAACTATGAAGTCATTGGTTCGACTGGGTTTTAAGATCAGGAAACATTATGGCTACGTCTAGACTGGCATGATTTTCCAGAAATGCTTTTAACGGAAAAGTTTTCCATTAAAAGCATTTTCGGAACAGAGAGTCTAGATTGGCACTGACGCTTTTCCACAAAAGCACTTTTTGCGGAAAAGCGTCCGTGCCAATCTAGACGCGCTTTTTCCGCAAAAAAGCCCCGCTTGCCATTTTCGCAATCGGGGCTTTTTTGCAGAAAACAAATCCGAGCTGTCTACACTGGCCCTTTTGCTCAAAAGTTTTGCGCAAAAAGACTTTTGCCCGAATGGGAGCAGCATAGTATTTCTGCAAGAACACTGACAATCTTACATGAGATTGTCAGTGCTTTTGCAGAAATTCAAGCGCCAGTGTAGACAGCTGGCAAGTTTTTCCGGAAAAGCGGCTGATTTTCTGGAAAAACTGGCCAGTCTAGACACAGCCTATGAGCTCAATTTCCAAGGTTCATTTATTGAAGCCGTTGTGCAAGTTTCCCAGGAGGCCAAAGACTGAATGGAGCGGTGGCTTTGCGACAAGTACTCCTCTCCAGTGGCCAAGCTCTTCCCGTCCTTTCTCGTTTGGAGTTTTTAGCCAAACCACAGGGGATTGTCTCCTGCCCCAGCAGAGGCCGATCCCCCATAGCGTAAAGCCCCCGCCTAACCCCAGCCCGGGCCGATGCCGCAGCCGCAGAGAGCTCGCGGCGCCCGGGGCCACCCACAGCAGCTCTGCAGAGCCAGCTCCCCCCTGCCCAAGATCGCGCCCGATCATGTGACCTGCAGGGCTCGGCTGGCAAGCCCCGCCCCCTTCCCGTGAGATGGATGCGGTGTCTCCTCTTCTCTCTTCCCCCAGGTCACA